AAAAACTTGAATAAGTCCCGACTCAAAAAGGCAACATGGTCGATTTCAGTTGTCCCATTTTTCATCAAACTTACCTTAAATGTATACGTACTGAAATAATAAACACCATAACATAATGAAAGCACACCATAACATGATTTTTGCACACATAACATGATGGTTGCACACAATAACATGATGAATGCACACCATAACATGATGGTTGTACACGACATAATGACGAATGCACACAATAACATGATGGTTGCACACAGCATAATGACGAATGCACACAATAACATGACGAATGCACACAATAACATGATGTTTGCACACCATAATATGATAATTGCACACCATAACATGATGTTTGCACACAATAACATGATGAATGCACACGATATCATGAAGAATACACACCATAACATGATGGTTGCACCCCATAACATGTTTGCACACCATAACATGATGAATGCACACCATAACATGATGAATGCACACCATAACACGATGAATGCACACCATAACATGATGAATGCACACCATAACATGAGGGTTGCACACAATAACATGATAAATGAACACAATAGCATGATGAATGCACACCATAACATGATGAATGCACACCATAACATGATGTTTGCACACGATATCATGATGGTTGCACACAATAACATGATAAATGAACACCATAACATGATGAATGGACACCATAACATGATGGTTGCACACGATGTCATGAAGAATGTACACCAAAACATGATATAAGTGAACTTAAGACAGTCATGGCTTTCCATATTGATGGGTTAAAACAATGATTCTGATACCGATCATAAATGGGTAAATTCATCCATGCACCGGGTAGATTCTAGAGCTCTCCAAAGTCAGATTTGACAATGGTCCATGTGAGTCAATCCGTGAAGCAGTGATTGGTTCAGATACTTATAGAGAACGGACTCAATTAATTGCAAATATTCAGGAAGGCAGGATATCACAAATTAGCTACACAATAACAATTACATTGAAATACACTGTATATACTTCATCTGACAGAACTATGCGCTTGGGAAAATATAGTCATACGTAGTTCAGAGCTGTGTTCATCAGTATTAATTGAGTTAATTAAAACTTTATGTTATATAACATTGTTTTCTTTCTGATAATGACATAGCATTAACGTATAACTTTTCAATTACAAGTGTTCTGCAATGGGTATTCTCTTTTGCGTACCACCTTGTATTACAGAAACTATGTCCTGAATATCAGCGACGGTATTGACAATCTTGGTAGCGTACAGTGGAAACTTGTACTGTGTTTGTTGTTATCATGGATTGTGGTTGTTCTATGTCTTATCAAAGGAGTGCTAACTTCTGGACGGGTAAGTCTCACGTCACATGATCCATCACTACCATATATGGGTAAGTGCATTGTATTACTTGATGCACCATAATTATATGCGAATATGTTTTGGGTCAAATAATTCACTATATCCTTATACAAATAGAATTGCAACGCGCATGGGAAACAAACACGACTAAGGATTGTTAGTTGTATGTCATTTTATGTTATCTTTATATTATGAGGTTATGATGAGGATACTGAAAATTATGCACGAAGACAGTACAGCAGAAGTATTGCACGCAGGTCCTTTCCTTCCAAGGATACATCATTGGAATGCCGAAATACAAAAAGTTTAGAACAGATTGAGCGAACTTCTTTGTGTGGAGTCCGGTCAAACCCTGGTGGCTGCCATGTTTGTTTTTATTATTAGAGGACGCTTACGCTCGCAATCGTTCCATATTTAGAATTCATTCAGTACAATACTGCAAAATTACGATACGCTGTAAATTATGGCGTTACGGTGACAGATGTATAATAATATTTAATAATTTAATAAGTTTTGTCATACAACCTAAACACAAAAATATCATGGTTCCACCTTACTATTACATATTATTTTAAAAGAATGTGAATTAGCGCTAAAACTAGACAGCATGTAGTATACACATATCAGATTGCCATAATGGCAACACCACACATGTGTTGTAATGTCTGTCCCTATCAATAAATAGTCAACACATTGCTTTTGGTCCCGCTATTCAGCCATGTTGGATTCTATATATTTTTAGTAACAACACGCAATGCAAGCGCGTCTCAATGACGTCATACATAGCAAAGATATAACAAGCGCCAAATGGCAACAATACTAAAACTATCGTTTAACGTCTGGATATTACATGTGTCTTACGCGAGGAATGGGGCGGGGGCTCTCAAAAACATGTTGAAACCCAAGATGGGTTGATATTTGAGTCTGATTGCTGACATTCGATGGTATTTCAAATTACCATAATCAGATTAAGTTACTTTCACGAAACGTGCATTCGGTGTTTAATATTGTCCCGAGTATTGTAGTTTTGCTGCAGCATGTCATTGCGACACCTCATAGCGTTTATAAGATGATTGTTTATTATTTTGTTGTAAATGTCATCTACTTTCGAGTTGAATGTAGACACCTTGTTCACAAACGTTACCTGAAAGCGAGTGGGTCGTCACCTGCGCACGCGCGGAAATTGAGTCCCAAGCAACGATAACAACACACGCTACAAATGCAAAGGTTCATGGACAGACTGGCGCTTGTTTATAAACAATGACACGCTATGGCTATCTGACGCATGCGCAGGTGACGACTCCCCCGTTTTAACCATGCGCAGTTATAACATTACAACATTATTTATTTTGCAATGACGATGTTTTCTCACTTTTAATCTGTTTCTCAATTACCTAGGTGGTCTATTTCACCGCAACATTTCCCTATTTTGTCATCACAATATTGTTGATTCGTGGAGTCACCTTACCAGGTTCGGCAAATGGGCTCATGTATTTCCTTATTCCAAAGTGGGAAGCGTTATTGATACCAAAGGTGTGTTCGGGCAAAAAGAGAGGCGGGGGTTTGTATCCCTATTGTGGATGCCACCCTTTACAACAATATGACATGTTATAATCGCTTAAGTATATTGTTCTTATTATATATTCATATCAAAGATGGGGCATCCATGTTATTCTAATAAGAATGTACGACAAGGCTGGTTTTCATAGCAAAACCGCTGTAGTTGCATTGATCCTAATTGACAGATATTGCCAGTGACCCAAAGTAATGTGTCAAAAATGGTTCCTGTTCAGTTGTTTGTGTTTAGTGCAGGTATGGAGCGATGCATTCACTCAGATCTTCTACTCTCTGGGACCAGGTTGGGGAGCCTTACTCACTATGGCAAGTTACAACAGATTCCATCATAACTTTTTAAAGTAAGAATAATTATTTATTATGCTTTTCATTTTTGACAAACATTGACGTTTAGTTGACATGAAGGCCTAAATGCAGTCATTCAGAATACAATGTTAGAGATTTGATTAGTCTATTGTAAAAACTGTAATAATCTGGTGGGGTCCAGCACCCCCTTTCTCCAGTTCTATTTTTTCATCAATAAAAATTTGTAAAATAATGTTCTAGGGATGTTTTAACTAGTCCAGTCATACTTACTGTACCAATATATGTGAAGCATTGGATTAAATTAGTGTGCTAAGTACAATACATACCCATGTGGTGGATGATATCTGCTAAAGATTCAGATCATTAGCTACCATCAAGAACAATGTCTAAAGTAGGAAAGGAGTGTGCAATCAGTCTCTCCCTTGTGTCAGCATTCTTTATTCTATGTTTTTGCCATATTATCCTGCCATATTACATCAATCCCTGCAAATAAAAGTGTGCATAGAATCGTTGGAAGAAACGGTGTTCATTGCCGTGTGATAACTGCCATAAAGGTGATTGATAGGTCATACTTGTTTACAATTGGAATCTACCAGGTGCCCTGTGATTATATAACAAAGGATGTTTACGATCTACTGACTTGCCTACTTGAGACAGTTGCTGGCAAGATCACATTGTGATTGGCTTATGTGGGAACCCAGGTGGTGTACCTGAATCTGGGCCATTTACGCCAATAAATAGGTTAAACAGTTGTGGCCCACCAATTCAATTGAGTACCATGTGTGTTACTGCTGCGATATTGTGAGACAAGTGATACAGGCTTCAATCATCATTCTGCGAGCAGCAGTGCCCTCCAGAATAACAGCGTTTCTCTGCAAGCAAGACTCCTGTATTTCTTCGTCATTGTGTTGCAGAAGCCATTGACTGTCATCAATTTCCACACCCTGTAACTGTGAGTTATCACCAATACATACTAGGCAATCCCCTATTTTAGTGAATTTATTCATTGTATTTTTCTGTGCTTTGTTCCCTGTAATTATTTTGAGACGTATTGAATTGGAGCTTTAATTTGATATGTTGGCGTATGTGTATTTTATTTCCATACTATTGTCGTGTCTACCTCAGTCTAGCAGTCTAGCAATAAACAGACTTTTCACTGTGACATTTTGGTGTCAGAAGTGGAATACTGATTCTAATTCGGATTGTTATTTGGATTCTTATTTCGTGTTGATTCTTATTTTGAATCGCTGTCAATTTGGATTCTGTTGTCAAAAATCCCCTTATTAAATTGACTGTTTTGTAATTTCTTAAGGTCTAGAGAACACGGTACTGTAAGACCAGCTTGTACTGATAGGTATACATTAAATTGCTTTATTTAACACTACTGGAACTTTTCAGCATCTATATTGTTTCAGCATATATACTGGAAACCTTCGTTTCTATCGGTTACCATATCAAGAATACTTCCTGACTTCCTGTTGCTGTACTGGCATTTCTATGGCACGCACCCCTTATTCTGAGGCAAACAAAGAAATGGCGTTATTCGCACTTTATTTTGCTATTATCTTCAATTTCCTTACTTGTCGTCGGATCATTTTGTAACACTGAGCTGCCTCCCAAGGTCAAACAATTTCTATTGCTGAATTTCTATTGCTGGTATGTATGTTTCCATCAACGCTACTGAATCATTTGGGCTTTCCAACATATATACAATGACGATGCTCCCACACAATATCAAATGACTAGTAATGCTGCTCCACATCACAAATTCTCTGTTCTACAAACAGCTCAACGACCTGTGATGGTGGAATGATGCTATCACTCAGGTCAAGGGGCAATTTCACAAACCCCCTCAGTGGAATGCTTAATTTTCACGGTTTGATTTTCTTGTTTCACCAACGCAATGAAATGATCAAGATACGTGTCACCTCATAGTTGAGCTGTAACTGAAGCAACAGAGGGACCAAGTCCTCATTCAAGTCAACTGTGCGTTACGCCGTGACTTTTCACTTCATGAATTATGGTTATCAAGTTGGTCGCCAAATTCAGAATTATCGACTGGCGACTCGACTGGGCCTGGCCACAATCTACTGACGCCTTATCGGTAATTCCCGTCACTGACAAGACTTGTGATATTTTAATTTACTCATAGTGCCTTGATTATATTCAAGCACTCTCACAGACTCATTCTCAGTGCTAGAACATTTGAGAATATACAGCTACATGAAAGTCGCTAGTATTTTGGGCACAAACTGTACATATTGCTTGATTGAAACACATGGCAATAAGACGGTCATAATTATCATAGATATATCACAATGATACGACAACTGCCAAACTGGTGGTGGTGGCGGCTATGCAGAAATCCGAAAACAGAATCAGAAGAAAATACTCTTCTGGTGTTCGGGTCATCATCAGCATTCGAAATCTTGACTAGAAATCTTGAATTTTTCTTTTCGGTCTATTTTCGGACAGCCAACTTTGTCTGATTTGATTTAACACGTCGGAAAAATAGAACTAGAGATATTGAAGTCCGATGGCACTATTTATGCCCGACTTGAGGGCGTACATTGAACAGAAACATACCAATAAAGAATTATTGTTTAGGTAATTTTATATTCAATATCAGAGTAATTATGCGATTTAAGCATATAATGTTACATGTTGGAGATGTATTGACGAACCTATGAATGCGTTTAGTTTGTCATTTTGAAGATGAAATTAAGTCCATAACTGTGTGCGGTTTTTATCTGTTAACTTTCTTATTATCGCTCGTCCAGGGATGCTCTTATTGTTCCTTTGGTAAACAGTGGTACTAGCATATATGGCGGATTAGCAATATTTTCAATCATTGGATTCATGGCTCATGATCAAGACCAACCTATTGATAAAGTTGTTACGTCAGGTAAAAATTATAATATCGCTTTCCGTTTTACACAATACATTATCATGGCATACACTAGTTAAATTCATAAATGAAAATAGAAATGTTTTTTTTTTTTGACTCGCTGAAATATCATGTACATTCAATCGAACATGTATTGTCATCTAAAATATAGGAATTAACAATTCGTATGATCAACATGACTGTCAGTCAATCATAACACGTCTTTCGGTACATGTGTTCAATGATACAATTTCAATGATAAAACTTGGTGCCGATATTGAAAAACATTGGTCATTGTATGCTATAACAACTGATACACATGATAGCTAGTCTATCATATTCAGTTGCATCACGTAATGGTGTGTAGGTGCAATTATATAGGGGATTGTGGGCACTCGCAGCCCCAAAAAATATTATTTCTTTGTATTCCTTCCTCGACCGTGCGTACTGAGGTGGGCGTCTGCTTAGAGTGATCCAGACGCTTTGCCGAGTTGTAAGTTTGAATTTCGTGTGTGCGTTTTTATAGGTTCGTAACCTGTACTTGTATTGTATGTAGAAAAACACGAGTGAAATTTCGGAGCTATAACACTCAAATTACAATTAAAGATGCATGTTTACAATTGCACTGCATAATTTCAAGTGTGTGGTTATACTTACATTTAAATGATTATGCAAATTAGTAAGGAAAGTAAAAATAAATAGCCTTTGCCTTGTTCAATGTGAAACCTACACACTATGTTCAGGTACCGGAAGAGTTTTGGACTTTTAATAAGGTGTTTTGTTCACTTAAATGAATTTGTGACACGGCGTGTTAGCCTAGTTATTAAAACTATAATCATTGTTTATAAACAAAATACGATGGACAAATCTGGAAGTCTTTTTAAAGTTTAGGTTTAAAGGTATTTATTTAAGTTTAAAGCTATTTATTTAAGCTTAAAGCTTAAGTTAAAGCTTATTTCACTTAAAGCTTAAGTTTAAAGCCTCCTCCTCACTGCTTTTAAAAAATCATGTATACCACAGTGTTTTGATATTTTAAAATCAGTTTTTGTCATGCGTCTAGTGTTGCACTTAAATATGTAACCAGAAATGTCTAAATATACATATATAAGTTAGATTGTCTTGTGCTCAGAAACCTGCATCCATGCCTCAGGTTTGATTGATACGACTCACGTAATTTTCCGAAAAGGATTACGTGCGGATGTGTTCAAATATTGTAAATTAGAAAGTGTGTGTCATTTTATTTACCTAGCTACAGCGCCTTGGTGTTTGAATGTCTTCTTTGTCCAATGCTTTCCCACAGGTCCTGGTTTGGTGTTTGTAGCATACCCAGAAGCTTTGGCTCGTATACCGCTAGCTCCGTTATGGTCAATTCTTTTCTTCTTTATGTTGATTACGTTAGGACTTGACAGCCAGGTGTGTATGCAAGCTCGTAATTCTCATTTGGTGGACTACTGATTAACCAAGTTCGAATTATTATTAAAAATATACATGTTTGCAGAGCAGTGGATATCAACAATACTTACAATTTGACTCTGCATGCTTGATATTACTTCAAATCAGTTACAAATCGCACTCTATTGCTGTTTTATTTCTACCTAGTTTGGTTTGGTGGAAGGTATAGCCAGTGGGATAATGGATTCATTTCCTGACTTATTTCGAAAACAGAAGACACTTCTCATAATATGCATTTGCAGTGTCTCTTTCTTGCTTGGGTTGCCGTTGGTTACTAAGGTATGTCTATGTACAGCAAACAAAACGATAGAATCGCGTAAAATTTTCACCAATACATTCGTCGGCAAGGTCAGGTCGCACCACTACATGTATTTCGGTATTCATGTCATTGTATAACACTTCATTTCACACTTCTTCATTTTTTGTTTCAATATCCTGTTTGTGCGGTCATAATCCTTTCTCATTTTAATTTGAGCACTGTTATATTGTAACATTATATGTTGTATAAATTTACTCTGTTGAATGTGTGAAGTGAAAATAAACACATAATCATCTAAAATAAATCACTCCATATCAGGTCAAATACACTTAAAATCCCGCATTCAAGAACCACCTTGCGTTTTATACCATTCAACAAATTAGATTAAAAACGATCTTAAACATATTGTACAGCATGATAGCTTGATAGAACATGGCTTGACCATGTTTAACATTATTTGACCAGTTTAACCAGGATTGCTCATTTTGATTAATTATTTTCCAAATGTGGTCGTGATTGCCATATTCTCAATCTCGAATGCTGCGAGCTTTGCAATTTTGCAGTATATGTATCTTACTAATCCATACTATCCCTGGTACTTGGTGGATACATTAACTTATAGACCATACAACAGGTAAATTGTCATTATTGGCAATATACATATATATATTATATATACAGTAATTGCCTAAAACGCCACAAACAAAAAAGTTTTGAAACTTAAATCGAAAGTTGATATTTATGAATTTTGTCTATTTTTACAGGGCGGCATATATATATTCACCCTACTGGATTGGTATACTGGACTCTTGTCTGTTTTTGTTATAGCTTTGTTTGAATCCTTGGTGATTGGATGGATATACGGTAAGAAGTAAACACATTGTGCAAATTGCAATAATATGAGGTTTAGTGTAAACGTTGACTGCATAAAACATTTGTAGACGTAGAAATAAGGGGACAGAATGAAGATAATTATAATGTTGATAATGAGAACCAGATATTAGTAATATGCTCCCCAATATGTCAATTAGATTAATGTACTTTATCGATATGATATTAGTATAAATCAAAAAATGTTTTCAAATTCATGCCATATTATTGTATAAGTTATATTGAGATTAATACATTATATGTATTAATTGAGAAATACAGTGGCTATTTTTCTTACCAAATGTTCCTTATAAATGTTGCTGAACTATTATTTTTTAGAACTGTTATACAATTCAACTTATATTTTTCGTGAGTAAGTGCTTAGTTTCAGGACTTTTATTCTGGCTTTTGCTATGCAAAAACAGTTATTGCATCGTTAGTTTGTATCCATCCATTCATGTGTAAGTTATTTAATCTAGGTTCGCAATGGACAAGCTCGTAATAGCTGTCCGAGTTGGTTTGTTTGAACTTAAGTGTGCCTTACTTGTAGGATCAGTGTTGGTATCAATGGAAGTTAAAACTAATCTTAATGTCATCTTGTTTTGGCAGGAGCCAATCAGTTCTATGATGACATAGCTATGATGTTAGGATCTCGTCCTAGTCCCTGGTGGATGATATGTTGGATGGTTATAAGCCCGTTGGCCATAATGGTGAGTATTTATTATTGCTGTACCCTGAAGTCAGCTTTCTTTTCCCGTGGATTTCGGTGGCGTTTTGAGCACGTAGATCATCAAGTGCCTTTGTATGTCGCAATGTTTTGGCGTGTTTGCGCAGTAGTATACATATGGGTAAGACTGTTACAGGCTAGGCGATCCATATTTAAGCCCGGCATCTGGGCTATGTCAGTGTATGTACGTTTGGTTGTGGAGACTTGTGTTTATATATTCGCTATCTGCCTGCACATATATTATAGGTGTTATTTGAAGCGTATAGATGTGGCACTGACCCATATACCTGTGAATGTTTCAAAGGGCCATGTCATATGGCCTTAAATAATAGTTTTGAATTTAGTTCGAGAGAATTACATATTATTACATATATAGACTTTACTCGGTCCACTGGAAGAAATGTATTAACCATTTTGCAACTTGTTCATCGAGCATGGTAGGTTTATTACAAACATTTTGTATGTCACTTACAATTACTCGTTAATTGCAGTTTATCGCTATGATGTCGTACATTAATTATGTACCAGTGTACTACGATGGCTATGTATATCCAAAGTCAGCGGAAGTTATTGGATTGGTGATAATGATTTCACCAACACTCATGATTCCATTAATGATGGCATATGAATACTGTGTAAATGGCCGAGGCAATGACGTCTTAGAGGTATGTATGTCAGCATCAAATTCGAGTTATACTGTAGGCATAGCTGCGTTCATAGAAAAATATTAAATATCCTCGATGCAATATTTACATATTTAACGTCAAAGCTGTCTAGAATTAATTCTAAAATTATTTAATAAACCCAAAGCAAGAATTGGCAGTAAATCCATATATTAAACAGATCTGTACATCTTGTCAGGCACGACGTGGAGTCATTTTGACCATAGCATGCATCAATGAACAGAGATCAGAAATCAATTCGCATATTCAAACCTAGGAGCAAGAAACCCACAGTTGTTTGTACACAATGGCACAGACCAATACCCAAAACCACACAGTGGCGTTTAAGCCAAATGTGTGAACCACACAGTATTTAGGCGTTTAAAAATAAGTCATAGGATAATTTTGATGTTGATATAAATGAGAACTTGTTAGAACATTTGTATTTGTAGTTCAAACTGGTAGCTCTACACCTTGGCTCTTTCATACTTTCCCTCAAAACCAAAATACACTCGATAGTATTATTTTTTCCTGATCTCCTGTATGAAATTTGTGACATTATAACATTCATTTTCAACATGCAAATCAGTATTTGACAATACGACATTGCATAATTGTAATAGCTGTCAGGGTGTGTGGATAGTTTATGACATCAACTAGTCTTGCGAAAATGGAAAGTGATTGCACAAAAGCAACTACATGTGTCCCAAGTAGAATTTTGAGTTGCTATAAATATAAATGGCGCAAATTTGCCTATTAGATAAATGAGACACGGTGGAACAAAAATAAACATTGACATGACATGTGCATAAATAATTGTACTCTGTGGGTCCACCTAACCGAAGAACGTTCTCGTAGCCCAATGTTTCCAATGCCAGTTCAACGACACAGTAATCTAAAACATTGTAGGTAGTTGATTAATACAATGGCGAACGGTAAATTTATATATAGTTATATGGACGCCATAAGTAAAATACCTTATTGTTGCATCTGAGAGCGCATGAGAGGCATGCAAGACCTTTGTTTGTCTGGTATCATTATATTATTTTGGATTTTGGATATTTTTAGCAATTCTATTTTAATTCAGAAATTTGCCATAATTGTGGGCAAAAAGAATTGTTGTCAGCTAAAGTATTTGGTTAGCGAATGCATATTCACATACTTTATTTCTATAATAAACTTTATGGAATATGTAATACTGAAAATCTCACCAGTTGACTTTTATGAAAAGTGAACTATAAAATAGCTGTGTCTAATATCTAACATTCTTTCTTTCTATCAGCGTATGCAGGCACTGCTCAAACCGACAGCCGACTGGGGTCCTGCTTTACCCAAATATCGTTATGGTGATTATTATGTTGAACTTGACGGCAAGTCGACAGCTAACTACCCAATGACTGAATTCACGACGGAGAGAGCCAACTGTGAAATGCCATCAGAATTCAATGACAATTCTTCTTATCCTACTAAACCCATCTACTAACTTGCAAAATGCGATCCACTTACGGTTCACAAACTTTAATTGCAACTTCATATACTATCATAATGTCAATTTCCGTTAAATGTTTCCTAAAATGTGAAGGTCGGATAGTAAATGGGCTAAGTAAATTGTGTAATGCTAATTACTGTATTATGCATTTATTTTAAACATGGTCCATAATTAAATAAGTGAATACATTTAATTTAATACCATAAGGTGATCATGTGATGTTCGAAAAATGAATATTCAGTATATCATTGTGATCTAATGCTGCACTGAAGCAGACTTCAATCTCACATCACTTTTGAACACGTCGCGTTTCATAAAAGAATAAATCTTATAGATTTTAGAATGTAGTAATACGATTGACGAAAAACATGCACACCGCTCTATAACAACGTGCCCCAACAGTTCACGAAATGCGTAATGTATTCAGTTCAGCCCAATAATTTGCCACAAATTTTAAGATTGGATAATGATTACTCTCAGTTTGAGTCACATGTTCAGTAACAATCGATTTTATTGCACTACATTGAACTAGTGTATTCTGAACTAGTAATTAACCCCGTGTAAACTATAGGGCAGCTCATTGGTAATTCAAACTACTCACACTGGGACTTTTTTCTGAAACACTTAAAATATACGTTTTTATATTAGCCAATAATCTATTATGTCTTGTGTTGTTGACGATAAGTTACAGCAAGTCATGTTACATATAGGCATAATAAGCGTAATTATAATATTTTAATGTAATTTTGACTCATTTTCCGATACTCTTGCGCATTACAAGCGTTAACACCGCCAAATCAATTATCACTCTAATCAGGTTACTTTTGTATGATCGACTACTAATTATGTTATTTTGAATGGTTGTGACATTGGTTCAAAATAATTTCATACATATGGGTTTGTCACAAAATTAAGAAATTAATACGACATATAAAACTTTGGTTGTAATTTTGATATGCAGGAAATAAATTAATTTTAGAATGTTACAGGTGTTATTTCTTGGGTGCGAGACGTGACTGTTATTCGGTATAAATTGCCTTTCATGATGACTCCTTCACTGTTTTACTCAGTAATGACAATATCGGTGTTTATGTCAGCCAAAGTAGACGTGTTTCCATTTATTGGTCGGTTTCCGGGAGAGAATGCAGTGTGATTTTTAGCTTTAGTTTGTGTGGTAACAATGGAATCCGAAACTTTTCCATTGGTAATTTAGTCTTAGTGGCATGTATTGAAGAGGTTGGTACTAATTCCAACGTGACGTTATTAAACCGTTGTTGGTGCATGCAGGTATGTAAGCATTGGCTAATTATCGATCGTAGTAACATTATTCTCTTTCGTGGCGAAGATGTGCATGCTGCTACATTCACAAGTAGTAAGATAAATGCAACTGGATACTGTGGGTCCCTTTTACACAAAACAAATACAATAATGGAGGCTCAATTCAGGGATATATCGCTTTTTACTACGTAACCATACATTACACACATACGACCAACGAAAAAGATAAGTTAAATTAATTAATACATTACCTAAATTATCCAATAATACAAATATTAAAACATAGGCATGTAAAAAAAATCACAAAAAGAAAGGACACATCTAGTAGTATGCTCAACGTATACATAGTAGCAGCAACAGTGTAAGGAACAATGTCTCACTGAAACAATTTCCAGCACCTCCCAACAAGAGCTGTATAAAGAGAATAATGAAAGATTTTCTTTCATCAATACACAAATTACCAATGAGTATCATGAATTTGTTTTTGCGTATCTGTTGACCGACTTAATTAGCTGATTATTAGCGAATTGCTGTGTTATGTCTGTCATCGTTTAGGCCTATTTGAAGTTTTGGACGGAACTTGGCTCAGTGATTTGGAACTAATTACGAGATAACCGTCGCTATTCTGACTACGATTCTGACAGTTAGTATCCGTAGTTATTAATGTAGTGAACGATTAATCAAAAGATATGACGTATTCAGTACTTAGTGTGATTGGCTTTATGATTGAAGGTTACGCCCTAGAGTCTTTTTACTGCTTTGTAATTGGTTAGAGTTTTGAAAATGAATAAAGAAAGTTTGAGTTGGTCTTGGGGAGCACAGCACGATAGATGCAGTCTGAGAGTCCAGTCCTGGAGAGCCTTGGGGCGAGTGTTGACGCAGTCTAAGAGAGTCTTGGATCAGCCTTGCGATAGTCTTGGGATTTTTCCCCAGGGCGCTGTGTCTGATAGAGTGCTCGATTGATCGACTAAGACAAGAGTTGAAATGTATTTCGTTGTGTGTGTCTTATTTGACTATAAAGTATTAGTGACTTTCCTGATCCCGCACCTCAAGGGGACGAGATATAGAGACGAGACGAGATTCCCCCCTGGCAAGTGTGGAGAACCCCGTGGAGAAAGAATTTTCCCCGTGATACGTGGTTGAGAATCCGGGCATTGCGTCTTACGCACATTGACATCCTGTGAAGAAAAGTGAAATGGCGAAGGTGTGTCTTTCTTGTGAACCGAACTAACAGCTTGAACACAGAGACAAAACCGCGCTTGACGACTAACTACTTTACCCGAACAACACCGATGTACAACGCTGAAGAGATGAAGACTTCTGAACCCCTTACGAAGGATGAGTACCGGATAGGACTGTATAATTAAAAATTGAGCGACATTAAAGACAAGAAGATGAAAGAACGACCCCGGACTAACGCGACGAAAGAAGAAGACGCTATATAGACTTTGAATTAGAACTTTAGCTATCTGTGTATTGCTTAGAGAACCGCTCGTTGGACACTGTAACTGACACTGTGTAACTCAAGACGTTTGAACTCTTTTTTTTCAGAATCCTAACCCTATTGCTCAGTAATGTAATGTATTGCTTGCTTTTCCTATCGTTTTTACCGTTTTTTTTCGTGATGTTGAATTGTATGTTATGTAAGTACCCAGATCTTTTTTGAACTGATATTTAGTGACGTGTGAGGTTCTTTATAACGATTTAAGCGCGCCTCAGTGAACACGTATTTGCAACACAGTGTTTTGAGTTTTGTGAAGTTTGATGAAGTTTTAATGAGTTTATGAGTAAGGATTATGATGGGGAGAGTGATGCCCCCACATATTTTTAAGAGTTTCAAGATTTGTCGAGTACAGAGATACCGATGTTTTAAGAGTTGTTGTTGTTTATGTGTTGTTTCCGGAATACTTCTGACGCTTTTTGAGTTGATAGCACCTTTGTAACGTTTTTTAATGTCTTTTTGAGATAAGAGTATGGGCGCCTATATACGTATTATTTGATACGCAAGCTTT